TCGAAATGGCCGACTGGCGGCCATTTTGTTAAAGAATTCAGTTCTGGATCCGTATCCAAGACATGTCTGGATTGATCAAGTTCAAACTTCACACACACATGGTACATCATGTCACAAATAGATATGTGCATTTGTTTCATGATCTGCTTAACAATAGCGGAATGATGGCCATTTTAAGGCCGAAAATGCATCAAAATCACATATTTTCACAATTCCAGAACCGGATCTCAGTCATGCATGGATGGATTTTGTTCAGATTTAGCACAATGTGTTGTACATATGCAGGTGCATTTCGGTCATGATCTGCTTTGAATGTATATGTCACTCAAATATGAACGGAACGGGGACGTGTCATTGACAATGACTTGTTTTTAATTGTTCATACAATCATTGACGGATTATGTTCAAAGTCATTACAAATACAAAGGAATTTGTCATTACTAAATCAAAAAACTGGCAACCATTTTGTCAAAGTGTCAGATATGCTTCATTCAGTAAAAATATCGCTCTGACGTTTTAAATCATTAAAATCATAGCTTTTCAAGTTAATGTGTTACCAACCATAAACACAACACAACAGTCCATAACATTTAATTCAATGTTTTTGTTTTTATTGCAGTATAAATGGTTCAGTACAAGCAACCAGTCAACATGTCCTTTGTGCCGGAATCTCTTCTAGAACAATGCACAGATTTGTAAATCAATTTAATAAACTTTTCTGCATTTGGAGATATGAAAAAAACGTATTTTAAGCAACATGTTTATTCTGTTGGTATGATTGATGTGTTTACAAGAACTAAACAGTCTTTACCCAATGAAATCCACTTGTACAAATTATTAATTTCCATAATAATGTGTATTGTGCAGTATATTTCATATTCATATCATCTAGAGCCGATTTCATTTATTTATGTGTGCTTAAACAAAGTGTGATTGCCTAAGAAAAAGACAAAATTGTAAACCATGCATTCCTCAAAAATGATATAGCATACTTTACTGCTGTACTATATTCCTGCATTTACTTCCACTTATATTATTCAATGGATAATTCTGGACAATCTTTTTTCCTATGGAAATGTATTTTGTTTTATCTAGGGTAATTAAATTAATTTTAATCCTTGAATACCAGACTCGGTGTAATTTCATAAGGTGATTACACAGTGTTAGTTGTAACATCACTATTGGATAAACAAATATAAAATACATGAATCCAGTGATTACTATAAGGTTATTATGATACCTCGTAGTATATGCGAAGACAGTACAGCGGGGGTTGATGGGACGGCGTACTGTCTGAGTGGAAGGTTACAAAATAGCTTTGCCTAAAAGGTACAGGTTGTCGTAGACCTTGGCAGCAACGCCTTTCTAAAACTGTCACATTCATGAAAATAAGCTAATGAGATTTTGTTGAGCCAGCACCTCCATCACCATCCTGACAGTATTCATTGACTTTGTTTCTATTCCAAGGTCCTCCACAAGAGCTGCTCGTCATGCAACTGATGTTATTCAACAATTATTGAAGTTGTTAGCTCATTTAATAAAGCAGTCTGCATTAGTTGCTATGGTAGCACCAATTGTTGCTATTATATTCTACATTGCATCACTTCGGGAACCATCAGTACTTCCAAGTAATCTTTCTGATAAAGCTATGCCATTGCGGTTTGTGCAGTTGTCTGTGATTCCCATGCTTCCTGGCCTGTCAATATCAGCATTCAATACTTGCGTGACATTAATTTAGAACATCAATGGACTGGGGCCATAATTACTGCATAATTTGTTACATCTCTTTTTCGGTCATACGATTGACAAGGTGCTCACATCAACTATTCATAAGGGCCATGGTCACATTTACAAACTCTGATCAATTGTTTTTGTTAACTTCTCCACATTTATACTTGGTTTGGGCGAGTTCTATCACCTTTGAGCGTACCAACAAAATCGAAAAATCTACTCATTCTGAAATACCACATATCGGCATTTTGTCGACACACTCAATGAAGGGTGTCAGTTATTGACAGATTCACACTCTCAGTAGTAGAACATCACATACCTTTCTGCCTACCACCCTCTTCGACAAGTTCCATCAGGGACATTGTCTGGATCAACCAACCCTGGATCAGGAATCGGGACAACTTATACTACAATACATCAGTGTTTGAAGCAGAATGAAGACATGGGAGCTCTGGATTTGGAAGTTGCATACCTTCATATACATACAGCCAACCTGAGGTTTGGTCTCTGCCTCACCCACTCAATCTAGTAATGGCATGGGATGTAATGTTCTTTAATTGGGACAATTTTGGTGCATATGCATGATAGTGCCATTCTGGTAGAGTCGAGGGTGGACCTCTCTTCTAGCAAGTCACCCAAGCTGGCTCGCCCATGACTCAAGCTGTAGCTATTCCATTTTCACGCTTACAGGCCATCCACATGCTCAGATAAAACCATGACATGTTTGCTTCCTGATTCTGGTAGATTTATACATTTAAGATGTTTGTTTCCAACTCGTAGATAACTATGCACATTTGGCATGTTTGCTTCCTAACTTTGGTACATAGCTCTACACATTGGACATGTTTATGCCTGGCTGATATATAGCTCAGCACATTTGGAATTTTATTCTTTACTGCTAGATAGCTTTACATATTTGGCATGTTTATTCCTGACTGGTGAATAGCTTTACACATTTGACATGTTTATTCCTGACTGGTAGATGGCTATACAAATTTGACATGTGTATTCCTGACTGGTGGATAGCTATACACATTTGACATGTGTATTCCTGACTGGTGGATAGCTCTGCACATTTGGCATGTTTATTCCTGACTGGTAGATGGCTATACAAATTTGACATGTGTATTCCTGACTGGTGGATAGCTATACACATTTGACATGTTTATTCCTGACTGGTAGATAGCCATACAAATTTGACATGTTTATTCCTGACTGGTGAATAGCTCTGCACATTTGGCATGTTTATTCCTGACTGGTAGATGGCTCTGCATAGTTGGCATGTTTATTCCTGACTGATAGATAGCTATACAAATTTGACATGTGTATTCCTGACTGGTAGATAGCTATACAAATTTGACATGTGTATTCCTGACTGGTGAATAGCTTTACACATTTGGCATGTTTATTCCTGACTGGTAGATAGTTTTACATATTTGGCATGTGTATTCCTGACTGGTGAATAGCTTTACACATTTGGCATGTTTATTCCTGACTGGTAGATGGCTCTGCATAGTTGGCATGTTTATTCCTGACTGATAGAAAGCTATACACATTTGGCATGTTTATTCCTGACTGGTAGATAGCTATACACATTTGACATGTTTATTCCTGACTGGTGGATAGCTATACACATTTGGCATACTTATTCCTGACTGCTAGACAGCTCTGAATATTTGACATGTTTATTGCTAACTGGTGGATAGCTTTGCAAATTTGACATGTTTATTCCTGACTGGTGGATAGCTATACACATTTGGCATGTTTATTCCTGACTGGTAGATAGCTCTGCATATTTGACATGTTTATTGCTAACTGGTGAATAGCTTTACACATTTGGCATGTTTATTCCTGACTGGTGAATAGCTCTGCACATTTGGCATGTTTATTCCTGACTGGTAGATGGCTCTGCACAGTTGGCATGTTTATTGCTGACTGGTGGATAGCTGTGTACATTTGACATGTGTATTCCTGACTGGTAGATAGCTCTGCACATTTGGCATGTTTATTCCTGACTGGTAGATAGCTCTGCATATTTGACATGTTTATTGCTAACTGGTGAATAGCTTTACACATTTGACATGTTTATTCCTGACTGGTGAATAGCTCTGTACATTTGGCATGTTTATTGCTGACTAGTAGATAGCTATACACATTTGACATGTTTATTCCTGACTGCTAGATAGATATACACATTTGACATGTTTATTTCCGACTGGTAGTTAGTTATGTGAATTTGACATGTTTATTCCTAACTGATAGATAGCTCTGCACATTTGGCATGTATATTTCCGACTGGTAGTTAATTATGTTTATTCCGACTGACAGATAGCTCTGCACCGTTGTCATACTTATTCCTGATTGCTAGATAGCTATACACATTTGACATGTTTATTTCCGACTGGTAGTTATTTATGTGAATTTGACATGTTTATTCCTGACTGACGGATAC